TTCCATTCAGAAAGGAAAATGGCTTCTAAGCCTAACACTTCGACAGAGAAGTGAGAGTTAAAAAGCAAGGTACACGGGTCTGACGAATGGGTCCGAAAGAGATTCAGAGGGCAAGAAAAGAAGAGGGGATGAAGGAGACAGGAAAAGGTGAAGGAGTGGGGCAAAGGTCATTTGGTGTGAACCTGGCTGCCCAGCTTTTTATGCACCCAGGGCAGCCTGGGAGCCCTGTCGCCCCTCGCGCATCTACCGGCCTGGCAGCCGGGGATGTGGAGCCGACGGGGAAAAGAGGGGTGCGCGGTCCCTAGGAAGGAGGCGCACTTTGCCCAGCTCTTGCCTCCGGGAGCAGGAAGGGGATGAGTGGAACGGAGCCCGGGGCCTCCCAGCAGCCCTGGCTGCCGCCCGGTTGTCAGCAGCGCCCTCCCGCTGTCACTTATCTCCAGTAGTAGGAAAAAACAGAGGTCTTGATATGAAACTGGGGGTGCAAGGAAGCTTTTATAAGTCATGCAAATAGTCTTTTAGCACCATTGGAAAATCTCAACAATGTGGGTGAAAATCAGATTGACTCTGTCCACTTGAAAAAAATGACCAGCCCTATAGACCAGTTTCACTTGGTCATTATATTTTACCACCACTATAGGCACTGTAAGCATTGCCAGCTAGCTTGAAAGTAGGACTGGTGTGATTATCTGAAACTGATGGTAAATGGGTAAAGCCAAGGAAAAGATCCCTGGGCTTCAGCCCAGGAGTTGAAAACCAACCTGGGCAACATAATGTGACCCCCATCTCTACCCAAAACAAAAAATAATTGCTGGACATGTGGTCCCAGCTACTTGGGAGACTGAGGTGGGAGGATTGTTTGAATTTGGGAGGTGGAGGCTGCAGTGAGCTCTTATAGCACCACTGACCATTCAGCCTTGGTGACAGAGGGAGACCCTGTTGCAGGAAAAAAGAAAAGAAAGAAAAAGGAAAGGAAATAAAATAAAATAAAAAGACAAGTGAAAACAAAAAAGAAAAATCCCTGTTTGGGATTTAGGCTACATTTCGGAAATGAGGATTAATTGAAAAAGCTAATATTCTGATCATTATCAAACAGAAATTGCTTTTCTAAGTCTATATCATGCCAGAAAGGCATTAATGTGTATTTTTAAAAGTCATCTAAATAAACTGTTAAATTCTGTTTGATGAAACATCAAAACTATTTGTGTGGCTTTACTTTAGAATTGATGCATTCCAGTTGTTTAGGAAATCATGCATACCCTAGATATGATTTGTTAACCAGAAATATCTAATATTTTGAACACATTGGAAATTGTTTCCTATAGCTGAGCATACAATTTTATGGTGATGTTATTAGCATTGCTGTCGTGGCTCTGACTTGTAGAATCTTTCTTATCTGCAGCTTTGATTTGGTTGTGCCAAGTCTGTTCAAAGGCTAAGTAGAACTTCATTGTGTCTAGACGGATGAGTCAAAGAAAATTTCTAGCCTGTTTAATTAGTGCCACGGGTTTATAAGCAACATTACAGGCATTCCGTTTCATCACAGCTTTTCAATCTGCTATACAAACATAAGACTCAGCTACTGTTTACCTTTACCCTTTTTGTCAATGCGAGGGCTGCTGCTTCTGTGTACAGGCTCAAGTAATTCCCATTATGCCATGCCCTGTGTGCACCTTCTGGAAGTTACCTGATCTGGAAGTTAGCCCATGGACGTCTAAGATCTGGGATATTTCCAAATCTGGTTGTGGAAAGGCCTGGAAATCTACAACCACAACTAGGTAGAGGACACCTGTTTCGGGAGGGGTTATAAAATATGAAGCGAAACGTGGAAAAGGGAGTTGTGATTACGGTTCCAAAGGCTCCACACCGATATTGGAGTTAGGGGGCACTCAGGTTTCTGTTTCGTGACCCGTGGCCCTACCCCTCCAAGACCCAGGTCTTTAGTAACCCAGGCTTGAGATTTCAAACCCCATCTCCCAATGCCAAACTCCCTTGTCCCAGCTGGGAGGCCCCCAGGGCATTTCTGAACATGACCATCTCCAGTTCGCAGAAATCTGTGTGTTGCTGCAAACAGAGGATGACAAGAGATCACAGCCTACGAATGCGAGCAGCGTCAAGTCAGCAACAATCTTCTAGTTATAGAGAAGTCGGAGACGTCTGATTATCTCCTTTCTTTTCCACCTTTACTAAGAGACATCTTCTCACCTCCACGCTAAGAGGGGCTAACTATTCCGAAAGCCTTCGTGCCCTCTTCCTTTTCCATTTTTCGACTTCCGAACTCCTACTGAAAGATAAGGAAGGAGTCCACAGAGCAAGATACAAAGAAGTTTCTTAAAACACCTTCTTTTCTAGGTTCTCAAGGCGTCCCCTTTAAGGAACCAGGACCACCTCTTTCCCATTCACCTACTGGCTTTCCTTCCTGTCCGTCATTCTACCTTTAAGAATATTTCCTGTTCCTTCAACCCAACTTGCACACCTCCGCCCCCCGGCCCTCCTCATTGGGCCGCCCGAATCCCGTTCACTCCTTGGTTTTCTCTCCGCCTTCTCCCGCCCTCTAGCGTAGCGCAACGGCATTCTGTCTTCTTATTGGCTACTATGGCAGCGTTCAGCAGCCTGATTGGCGGGTTGAGTGACAGAGGCGGGAGCGCGGAGGGCCCAGGGTAGGCTGTTCGCTTGCTGAGCGGCGGCCGCGGGAGGGGCGGGGAGGGGCGGGGGGGAGGGGGGCTGGGAAAGTTGAGGCCGCGCTGCCGCCGGGTCTCCGGCCTTGAGGGCTCGGGCTCGCAGCGGCTGCGGTGGCCGCAAAAAGAGGCGGCGGGGGCGGGGGCGGGGGGAGAGGAGGGCCTGGGCCCGCGCTCCCCCAGCCCCGGAGGAGCAGGCGGCGGCTGCGGACTGAGAGATTCCCCCAGACGGTCGGACACTCCTGCCTTCCCCTCCTGGGATCATGACCCAGGCGGGGGTCGCCGCCGTCGCCCGCGGCCGAGACCGCGCAGCCGGCGGGTAAGTGACTGCGGGAGGGGGCCGCTGACAGCCGGGGCGGGGGGCGGGGGCCGGGGCTGCGGGGGCGGCTCCGGGGGGCGGCCCCGGGCTCAGCTCCACCCACCCCCTTCCTGCTCCCGGAGGCCAGGGCTGCGCTAACTGCGCTTCCTTCCTGGGGACCCCCGCGTGCGGTACCTGGTGGGGTGCCAGCACCCGCGGTGTGCGCACCCCTCTTCTCCCCGGCCGCCCCGCGTCCCCGGGCTGCCAGGCCCGTGGGGAGCTCGCCCTGCGCCCCAGCTGCTAGATGCACGGGGGGCGAGAGGGGCCCCACGCTGCCCTACGTGCATAAAGAGCTGGGCAGCCAGGTTCACACCAGATGGCCTTTGCCCGCCTCCTTCACCTTCTCCGGTCTCCTTCATCGCCTTCTTTCCTTGCCCTCTGAATTTCTTTCGGACCCATTCGTCAGACTCACTCATGTGGCTTTTTTTTCACTCTCACTCCTCTGTCGAAGTGTTAGGCTTATGTTTTCGTTTTAGAAGCCATTCTTTTGCTTTCTGAATAGAAGCAGTGCAAGTGAATGACCAACTCTTGAAATCTACTTTCTTATATCCGGATGAAATATAAAATTCCTGGCTCTTGTTCATGTTTACAATTTTGACATTTGAATTCACCCCACTCACTCTTGAAGCCTCTCCTCCCAGCCTGCCCCGTTACGTTGGGATATGGTCCTTTGCGTTTATTAACTTTATCTGAAAATAAGAGACTGCATAAACCAAAGTGCAGAATTTCAATTTCTGTTCTCATAACATTTTTACTATCAAATAGATATAGTAACCTAACACCACACAAAACAAGGCAGTCGTGGCCAACTTTGTAGGTAAAGAAATTTCCTTACCTATAAACACGTACAGATTTCTTGAATAAATCTTACGGTGAGTAACATGGATCCTAAAGCATATTCCCACGTTTGCTCTTTTGTAAAGAAAACCAAACAGACAAACCTACTTTTCGAAGGATCAACAGGCTCTCCTACTCTCCATTCACCTTGATGACTTTTTTCTCCCAGAGGGGACTCTTGTTTAACATAGTACAGAGTTACTGGTTGGGATACTTATATTGTTTCTCTTTAAGTACTCAGAAAGTGTTTGTTGCAAAATAAGTGAAATACATTGTAATTGCACTTCTGAAAGCAGAAGTAGTATAATGTATCCATGCAAGAATGAATACTTAAATGTTAACGTTTTGCTTTAGTCTAATTCAAGCTTGTCCAACCACCGTCCCAGGACGGCTTTTAATGCGGCCCAAGACAACAAGACAAATTCATAAACTTTTTATTTTTTGAGACAGCGTCCCACTGTCGCCCAGGCTGGAGTGCAGTGGTGTAATCTCAGCTCACTGCAACCTCTGCCTCCCGGATTCAAGAGATTTTCCTGCATCAGCCTCCTGATTAGCTGAGATTACAGGTGTATGCCACTAGCCCAGCTAATTTTTGTGTTTTTCAGTAGAGACAGGGTTTCTCCATGTTGACCAGGCTGGTCTCACATTCCTGACTTCAGGTGATCCGCCTGCCTCGGCCCCCCAAAGTGCTGGGATTACAGGCATGAGCCACCGTCCCCAGCCTCAAATTTGTAAACTTTCTTAAAACTTTCTTAAAACGTGATTTTTTTTCCCCCTCATCAGCTATCGTCAGTGTTAGTGTATTTTATGCGTGGCCCAAGACAATTCTTCTCCCAATGTGGCCCAGGAAAGCCAAAAGATTGGACTCCCCTGGTCTAAGCTAAAATACTTAGATGTACATAGGTAATGGGTTCTCTCTGTATTTAGGAGTTTTGTAAAATTCACATGCAGCCTAGAACATTCCCTAATGTAAAAGCAGTGCATTGTAGGGATGTAAGTGCAGCTTAGAATTGAAGTACTTATTTTTTAGGTTAGTCGTCTATGGAACATCATGGAAGTACAGTTCTAAAGTTGTAGACTCTACACTCAGTGAACCAGTCATGTATGAGAAATTGATGGGTACTTTTCCTATTTTCAGAGCTTAGCCTTGTCAAGAAGGGAAAAGAAACACTAAGAAAACAGAATTTTTAAACTCAGGTTAGAAGATAAGCTTCAACAGATAATCAGCTCAAATTTGTTGCTTATAAACAGGGTCTTAAATCAAACTTGAGACTTAATCATATCTCTCATGCTTTACCTCTCTATTCTCTAGCCCAGTGGTTCTCAATCTAGACTGCACATGAGCATCACCTTGTGTGTCTTTAATGCCCAGGCCACTTCCCCCAGAAATTCTCTTACTTTTGATCTGGAGTAAAGCTCTACCATGGGCATACTTTTTCAAGCTCTCCAGATGATTTTGTTCAGTAGCCCTGGCTGAGAACTCCCATGAGAGTAGGACAACGTCCAAAAGCTAATCTTGTGTTCTGGGCTTTTCCAAATCAGGCTTCACTCATGTGTCTAACTTTCCCCTCAGTGCTTTTGTTAAAAACATTGGCCTTTCTCAGGATATGGACACCTTTTCCCTGTTCTTCTGTCCTGCCAACAATAGTTCTAATTACACTTTTATGAAGGTTTTCTGGAGAGCTTACTCTAGTTCTTATTGATCAATTCCCTTTGAACTTTTATGCTACATGTTGTTTAAAAGACTCCCTTTATGCTTACAGTATGTGGCAGTTTAAATTCTATGTGTATGTGTTTCATTGTTCTCAAATATTATGATAAGGAATATTTTATTTTTCATCTCTTCTACAGAAGTTTTCTTTAAGTTGGATTGGTTTGATTTGGAACCCTTCTGACTCTTCCTGCAACCATAGTTTTAGGTTTGATTTCATCTTAGATATGTTAGCAGCTTCCTCATACCTTAACTGGCTTTGAATTCATGTATAGACATCAGGATTTTTTTCATATCTTGTCTTTGTTTTGTTAGTAGGTTATTTATCTTCCATGGCCTCATAACAGTTTGTACTTATTTCTGTGTTAGCACTTAGCACATTGCCATAAGTGTGTGTTTACATGCCTTCCTCCTCTTACTGCTAATCAGAGCCTCCATGTTGAGCAACTCCGGGAGATACCATTCACATATTCTTGAATACCATTGTAGCATGGCAGAAGTAGAACTCCACCAACATAGGAACTGTGTTCCTTTTATCTTTGTATTCTTAGGACCTAACATTGCATTTGTGATTACTAGGCAGTTAATTAATGTTCTTGAACAAGTCAATGACTGCCATGTTATATATTATAAAAAGATAGCCATATACATCTTGAACATAAGTTGATTTGGCATTAATTGATTTTGCTATTAAATATTTTTATGTCCTATACTCCTATTATGGATTTGTTAAAGGTTAGTAGAATCTAAGTGATTGTAGTTGTGACAGACCCTTTAAATATGTAATCTTCCTTCTAGTATGCACAGACGTATATGTGTCTTGAGTTTTTTACTCTGTGCTGTAAAGGTGTACACTTATTCATAAAATATTTGTGGAACTCTTGCTAAGAGAAAATGGTTAACTGTCCAATTGGATAATTTTTCTTTTTCTCATTAAAATTTCCATATGGGTACAATTGCACTGCTTCAGAAGGCCAGATCTTTTAATTAGATCAGTAGGGCATGATAAGTTGTTTCTATTAGTGTGCTAATACTGTGTTTTTAATTCAGTTCACCAAGTATCTATTATTCACCATGTGCCCAACACTGTTAGGTGCTAAAGAGAAAACAGAAATAGTAAATGGTGGACTCAGCTTATAAGAACTTTTTAGGCTTATTGGGAAGATTGTTTAAGGAACTCAATGGAGTATTCATTAGATGCTAAATTAAACATAAGTACGTAAAATCTATGATGTAATGATTAATACAAAAAAAAGGAAAGACTAGATACTCTTTCAGCAGACATTTATTACCCAATTACTGAGGGCTAATTGTTGAGGATACAAACATGAAATTTTTTTTTCATGTTTGTATTCTCAGTAATATGAATAATATGATTTTTTTCATATTTGTATTCTCAATAATTAGCACTCAGTAGTGGAGTAATAAGTTTCTACCATTTAGAAGCTTATAACTTAGTGGGGAAAACTAATAAGTATATAGATTGTATTTCATGTTAAGACATTGTGGAGTATCAGGATGTTTGGGAGTATGAAGAAGGGTATTTAGTCTAATCTCTAAGGCATGGGTCCCCAAGTGGCCTGTTAGGAACCAGGCCACACAGCAGGAGGTGAGCTACCCTCCTGTCAGATCAGCAGCAGCATTAGATTTTCATAGGAGTGGGAGCCCTGTTGTGAACCACACGTGCGAGGGATCCAGCTTGTGTGCTCTTTATGAGAATCGAATGCCTAAGCTAGATGGAACAGTTTAATCCCCAAACCATCCGCTCCACTTGCTGTCCATGGAAAATTGTCTTCCATGAAACCAGTCCCTGGTGCCAAAAAGATTGGGGACCGCTGCTCTAGGGATCAGAGGAAGCTTAAAGAGGATAATGAAGATTCTCAGGAATTCCTGAAACAGCAGAAACCAAAGTGAAGGGAATAGAGAGAAGAAATTTGTGGTGTCACCACTATCTACCTCTGTGTCATTTGAAGGACCAACTTCTCTTTGG